TTCCATATGGGGGTGGATATTCCCCAATGAATTGAAAACGATTTGGTTGGAAGGAAGATTAGAGAGAAATTTTTTTAATAGCGCTGCTTTGGAAAAAAAATACTCGAAAAAGTGTTTAATATCCTATAAACAATTAAATTCACTCTAACCCATAAGTTTAAGTTTTTGGGTTAATTGATGATTTAATCATTTTTTAAATAGTATTAGAATAGGAGATCCTATGTTAAAACTTGTTTGATCACAATTTTGACAAAGTATTGAAGCTTAGCTCGACCAGGTTAGACTGACTCTTCAGACGAGCTGACATTCTAGCAAGTAGAGGACCTGTAAAAGAGAGTAAGCACTTCAACGCTTAAATCAGTAGTTGGCCGATCTATATTCAAGAGAGAATACATTTTCACATACTTGAAAATAACGCGGGAGGTCTTTATTTATAGACGGAGCTTCCGACAAGTTTCCAATAGCTCTCTGATAGCCCGAGGATTGTGGCTTGTTGTCGTGGATTGTGTCGGAATAAGATTCTTGCAGAAGTATATTTTGATCAGATCGGCTAATAACTCAAGCGTTTGATGTAAAGGTTTGAGTTCGGCTCGGCTGATTTCTCAGGCAGTCGAGGTATGATACGAAGGTCGGCTCGTCTTATTCATAACTTGCGACTGTCTCCAATAGTTTAGCTCGGCCTCTTGAAGAGCTCCGAAGTATAGTTACTTCCACGTATGAATCTTCATACTTATTCATCACTGTTGGTCGTATCATATGTCGACACATAGCTGGTGATAAATCACCTCCAACAAAATTCAACATCCAATATTTCTTATAGTTAAGCTATCGACAAGGAAGCTACACTTTCTTAATATAGATAGTTACTGTCAAATTCTTTTGAGGTCTTTTCTTAGTCATATTTACATGATTCCAAGGTCCCTCATATCTAGTGTGGGGATGAAGGGGAATGTCGGATCATTAAGGGTGGAATAGTGGACTTGATGCGTGACAAGTATAAAGTTTAAAATTTTAAAAATAGTATAATTACTGTTAAAGTCGAGTCTTTTTTTTCAAGTATAAAGCAAAACTCTATGTATTGTAAAACACCAGTAGAAATCAAACTCATGCTATATTTAATAAATAAATAATTGTCATTTTTCAAAAATATATATTAAATTTATGTTACGGTCTAGGGGTGAAATTTATCTTAGTTTTTATCGTGATAAAACCTAAACTAAAAAAAATAAGTTTAGCCAACCTAAGCTTAACTCGACGGTATTGTCAAAAAGAAAAAAAAAACTTTACGGTAAATGATATCTGTATCAAAAGATCGTGAGTTCGAATATCTCTACCTCCACTTCTTGTTGTACTCAAGAAAAAGAAATAAGTTTAATTACTATTTTGATCCCGGTACTTTACTTTCAAAATGCCTATTTTGATCCACATACTTTTAAAAAGTGACAATTTTGATTTCCATTTGCAAAATGTAGACACAAATTCTATACATATTGAAAACTCTTGAGTACAAATTTACATCTCAATAAATTTTATTGTGTGTAGTGTGGTCGTGAAATTTTGATTAAAAAAAGAAAAATAAAATAAAATGAAGGGAAAAAAGTCACTTTTTAGAGTACAATAATAAAGATAGATGCTTTGAAAGTATAATGACCACAAGTATAGGACTAAAATAGACGTTTTAAAGTAAATGAACCAAAATAAAAAATAATCTCTTGGTTGGAGATATATATCATTTTTTTCAATTACCACTAAACTATACTCACTTTGGCGTATTTACCAATTGAGTTACACTTATGTCGATAATGAAACTATTAATTGTTTTACCTTTTTTCTAGTATCACAAAGTGAAGGCGGACAATTGAATCTCTAAATTAAAAATAATAATAACCGCTAAATATTTTAAGAAAGTTAATAGAATGGACTTTACTGTCAACTAATATTCAGCTTAGTCTTTTCTTCAGCATTGATTTTACGTTATTTATTACCGTCCTTAAAAGTTCTCTTTTAAAATAGGTAACATTACAAAAATACTTCTTTTCAAGAAAAAAATACAGAAATACCCATCAACTTTTGTCTCTTACCTTAAGAACTACTTCCTCCTGTCATTTCAAAAGTTTCAATATTACTTTGATTTGTCATAAATATTTCAATATGTTTTTTTTTCCTAAATAAGAAATTCTCTTTTAAATTTGACAAAATTACAAAAAATATACTTATCATTTGAAAATTTTCAAGACTATACCTCTAACTTTTTATAAATGTGTTTCAAAAAATACCCTTGTGGTAAACATTCGTTAATATATTGAACGAAAAATTGACATAACAAAATTTAGAACGATGTGATAATTAATAAAAGCTTGTCGATAATCATTATAGCTAGTACTACAATAAATTTTACCTTTAACAATGGTAAAAAAAAAAATTTACGAATAGAAACAATGACAGACGTATAATTGACCACGTTAAAGGTTAAATTTGTTGCAATATCATTTATTTATCACATCATTTCAGATTCTATTGAAATTATCAACAAATATTTGCTCACTGAATATTTTTTTGAAACGTTGATAAAATGTCAAAGGTGTTATTAAAACGTTCGAAAGGATGGGGGTACTGTTGAAATTAGAGCAAAATTTGTTAGTATTTTTCATAATTTAACATTTAAAATAATATAAGACTTAGCAGAAGAACACGTGTCAAAATAATAGAAAGAGATAGGGATTTTATGATGACAGGGTGGGCCCGGCGATGAACCGACAAACGTGGGTCACAAGTCACTCGACTGCCGGCGACGGTTCTCTTCTAGTAAAAAAAGGCTGCGCTTGTGGCTTGTCAACCAATTCCGTATTTTAAAAATTTGTTGAATACAAATCTTACAAATCAATTTTTATTAATTATTTTTCCCATTTTCGCATCAACATTTAACCCAACCCTGGTTTTTTTCATAAACGTAAAAAATGAATTTTACCATCACTTATATACAAGTAAAACTATATTATAAAACTGAACATAACTCAACGGTAATTAATATATGTCTCAAATAAAAAGGTTATAAGTTCGACACTCCACATATTATATAAAAAAAATAGGAACATAGACGGTAGAATAGTCATAATTTGTCAGTATTTGAATTTTTTGTTATCTCTATGCCAATATTTTATAAAACAGGTAAATATTCAAATTCCTAAAAAACAGTTATTCTACCAAAAAGAAAAAGAGAAAAAAAAAGCTAGAAACAGTTGAATAATGTTGTCGTACAGAGAGTTGTAAATAATTGGGCTTGGGCTTTATTTTGTAGCGAACCTGAGCCCAATAACAACGTTGGATTTAACCAATAACGAATTACATTTTCCGTAGTAAATTGGAATTGTTGGAAAAAACAATAAATAAAAATAAAATAAAATTGTGGGTGGAGTGATTTTCCTCGCGGCTTTCCGAATCCTTCTTCGCTTTTAAGAACTCTCTGGGAAATTGGGAATCCGTCTCGTGCTTCATTTCTCAAACCCTAGGCATTGGGAATTCTCTGATTATTCGCCTTTTCAACCTTAATCTGATATAATTTCTGGTTCTTCGAGTCCGAGATTCTTCATTGCTGAATTGCCCTCTACCTCTAGGATCAAATTGAATTTTTCTCCGTCCCGGAATCGTTGAGAAGAAGACAGGAATGGACGATAGCTGTGCTGTGTGTGCCGATACTTTGGAATGGGTTGCCTATGGTTCTTGTGGGCATCGGGATGTCTGCTCCACCTGTGTTGCTCGACTTCGATTCATTTGCGGTGATCGCCGCTGTTGCATCTGCAAGTCGGAGTCCGCCGTCGTGTTCGTCACTAAGGTGAGGGTGCAGCTATCCCTGTTTTGCGATCCCATTCAATCTTTGGAGATATTTAATTGTGGAATTCTGGCCTTTGTTTTTCTTTCATATGCAATTTGGTTTTTTCCCAAGTGTTCTGCTGCTCTAGTTGTATTCGAATTCTTTATGGTTCCTCGTTTCATTTAAATTTTTGGAAATTATGAATAACTTTCTGTTTCTGTTCGATTTGGATTGTCATACTTACACCAACGGGATATCGTGCGCACTTGTAATGCCTGATTATTCATAAATTTTATGTACTTCAAGTATTTATATTGATGCAATCACATTTTTCAAAAAAGAAAAATGAAATGATAACAGAAAACTGTTATCTGAACAGTTGGCCAAGACACCACGAGTGGTGGCAACTGTGCATCAATAAGGTCGAGGAAAGGAAAGTTTGTGTACTTAGCTTGATCTCTCATTAACGTTTATATTCTATTATGATCATATATGTTCATAGTTGGTGTCCATAACACTGGTTGGACATTTTCCCAGCTACAATCATAATTATTGGTTACAGGCTTTCAGCCTTACCCGTTTTCTTATTTTTTGTGATTAATATTTCCAGCTGACTAGCTGAAATTAGGATTGTGGAGATGAAAGGAAGCCACCCCTTAGAGAAACAAATGAACTTAAAAAATTTAAGGTTGTCCTGTATGTTCGTAAGAGAAAAATTCTTTGTCCTAATGCACCAAATGCTAGATAGCTGCTGAAAGCACAATTCAAAAAACACAATACTTGCTCCAGCCACACCTTTGTAACTCCATTATCCGGATTTGTTACAATCCTTGATACTTAAACACCCCCAAATAAAGAGACAAGCAAGAACTTTCAGTTGTTATAACAGGGTTGAAATCTATTTGGTGCTTCTTCAAACATTACTTGATGGAGATTGATGACTGTTTCGTTCATGTTGGTTTATGCTGCAGGCCTTAGGAGATTATACAAGGACGATTAATGACTTTACAGTCTTTCCTTCTGAGCCAAGGGAAGGCCGAGCTGGATCCTATTGGTATCATGAAGACACACAAGCATTTTTCGATGATGTTGACCACTACAAGATGATAAAAGCAATGTGCAGGCTGTCATGCAGCGTCTGTGATAAGATAGGTGAAGATCAACCAAATGATGGACCAAAGCGGCGAGGAAAATTTCGGAACATCGAGCAGTTAAAGGGTCATTTGTTTCATCGACATAAGTTGTTTATGTGCAGTCTTTGTTTGGAAGGAAGGAAGGTATGCTTGTCATTCTGTTTGAATATACTTAGTGGTAGGCTGGACATTGAAATTCATAGCAGGTTCTTAGTAGATTGTTACAATAACTAATTATTAGTGTGGACCAGGGTGTATCTGACATTTTCTTTGATTGATTGCAACCATGGTACTGATTAGCTTTATTAGTGTGTCTCAGATTTTTATTTGTGAACAAAAGCTATATAGTAGAGCACAGTTGAATCAGCATATAAACACTGGTGACTCTGAGGTGGACGGAAGTGAGAGTGAGAGAGGTGGTTTCACAGGGCATCCTATGTGTGAATTTTGCAGAACTCCTTTTTACGGAGATAATGAGCTGTATACCCATATGTCAACTGAGCATTATACATGTCATATATGCCAAAGGTAAAGTAAACCTGTTTTGATTTGTGATTGGGGTGTATTAATTTAAACCAAATTGTTTGTCCTAAGCAAACTGAACTACACCAAAATGGTTTCATCTGGTTTTTTATGTGAAGAATTTTCAATCCATTTTCTTCATTGACTTAGAAACTCATTTAGTTATAACTCAATTTCTATTAACTTTCCATATACTTCATTTCTGTTAGTAAATATCACGAAAATAGGTGTTTTAGAATGTGTTAGACCCCCAATCATTAAGACATATAGTAGAAAGGGTAAAGGGGTAATTGTAGAGGGAGATGGCCATAACGGCCAAGAGAGAGAAGAGGGGACGAGTGGAGAGATGTAGGGAATGGGCCGTTGTCTATAAGGCCAGAGAATGTAAGGGGGGAAGGATCATTCTAGACTTTTGTGCTTTTGCAGCTTTTGAGTTTGTTGGGAGAGAATACCCACCCTCTCGGATTGGTGGGTCTGTTTCTGATTGCCTAAGGGCTCTTTTGTTGGTTTTGTAATGCCTACGGGCTCTTTTCTAAGAAGTAAAACATCTTGTGAGGGGTTGATACCTCACAGAATGATAAAAGAAAATGGATTCAAATAACTGAACCAATCAGTTCTGTCTGTTTCAAATTTTCAGATCTGGTGGTTTGGTTTACTCTTCTGCTTCAGCTAATCAAAGCTTCCAATAACTTGGATAAGATAATAGAATTGTACCAAACTGATTAGACCTCTATCATTCTTTATAATTGTTAACTTAGTGAGATTAAAATTTGTTTTCCTTTTCTTATAAATGTTTTATTCTTTTTCTTGGGTTGCAGGCTTCATCCTGGACAGTATGAATACTATAAGAATTATGATGACCTAGAGGCAAGTTGTAATACCCATACCCCCTTTCAACGATGAAGTACTGTCTTTTTAATCACTGTTTTGAGTTGAGAATGTATCTAATGGCAGTGGAATTATTTTTCACTACAGATCCATTTCCGACAAGCCCATTTTCTTTGTGAAGATGAAGCCTGCCTTGCTAAAAAGTTTATAGTCTTCCAATCTGAAGGAGAAATGAAGGTAACTTAGAAGATTTGATCAAGTATTTTGTATGTGTGTATATAGTTAAGTGCTTTCTATTTTGTTTTTGCTCACTTCTTTCAAGTTTTTAAGGTTCTAGGCTATATCCATCACAGTGCGTTGTTTCTTGATGTCAAATTGTTCTTTTTCAGAGGCATAATACTATTGAACATGGTGGCAAGCTATCTCGATCAAAGCGAAACGCTGCTTTGCAGGTATGTACTACTGCTCTCCCTATTATAGTCTTTAAGAAATGTAATTTGTGTTGGGGGGTGGGGGTGGGGGTTGGCCATGTCATTTTTTATGCTTGCATGTTCCTAGAATAGAAAACAGGAAAGAGAGAAGAGAACGTAGTAATATTTCACTTATGTTTCTCGATTCCCTTTCATGCACTATTTCTCAATTACTTTACTTTTTTCTAGATACCAACCAGTTTTCGGTATCGAAGAAGTAATGAGCAAGATAATCGCCGTGGTAGACGGACATTTCGTCGGGATTCCTCTGATGACCTACTTTCTTTAGCCATACAAGCAAGTTTTGAAACAGGCAATGCTGATGACACCAATCATGACCCACTGCCTTCATCATCATTTTCTAGTGGACAAGTAGCCTCGGATCAGGGAAATATAAGCAACATTGATCCCTTAATTGAACCATTTGAATCATTGGCAACAACAGATCCTGAATCAGCTTCTAGATACCTTCAAGCCTTGGGTCACTCTAGGAATTCACAATTGGAGCAATCATCCTTTCCTCCCCTTTCAACAGCACCTAGCAGCAGCCATCCGAAGCCCATGCATGACAAAGATGCTTCGCAAAATAACAGTATGGCAGCTCATCTTCGCCGCCAGAGGAAAGTGACTGTTCTGAATTCTGCTCAAGGTTGGCCAAAATCAGGTCGTGCCCCTGTGCTACCATCAAATAACTCATCTCAAGCTTGGCCTGCAATAAATGTTAATCATGCAGCATCAAGCAGTTCTGGGCAGGCTAAAGGTGTTGTCACTATCAGTAATGGCCCTTCAGTCTCAGGATACTCGAATTCTGCTCAGATGCATGGGAAGGCTCTATCTAGTTCTTCGAGTGGATCAAGCAGCTCTGGGCAAACTAAGGGTGTTGTCACTATCAGTAATGGCCCTTCAGTCTCTGGATACTCAAATGCTGCTCAAGTGCAGGGGAAGGGTCGATCTAGTTCTTCGAGTGGATTAGGTAGTAGCAGTCGGATCAGCCACTCTGCTTCTGCCCCTAGTCTTACCGACATTGCCTATGCCGAACCCTCAGTTAATGATTTCCCTCCAGTTTCTGCAGCACAGGCACGGAAGGCGCCCTCAAGTAGCCAGAGTTCACTGAACGTGGAAGATGTCCAAACAGCAAACAAATCTCTAGTTGAAAAGATACGTGCTGCTCTCGATTTCGACCAAGATAGATATGCCGTTTTTAAAGATATATCTGCACAATATCGTCAGGGTCTGATTGAGACGCAAATGTATCTTGATTGTGTGCAACAATTTGGTTTGTCACATCTTGTCCTTGAGCTTGCTAGGCTCTGTCCTGATGCTCAGAAACAGAAAGAACTTGTGGAGACCTATAATGCTAGTTTACAAAAAGATGTGATCCAAGAAAATGGTAGGGCTCAAGATGGTATTCAAATCAAAGACAAGAGCAAGGGAAAGAAAGGTAAAGGGAAGTATATAGATGCTAAAGACACTAGTTCCAAGGATAAATTAGCAGATAGTATCTTGAGTAGCGTTCGGGAACTGCAGTCAAATTTCATGCCTTCAGAGGAAGAGGTGGAGGTATTATCAAAGGGTGAATACCGTGCTGCGAAAGGAAAATCAAAGTTATCATCTGATGAGCAGCAAGGTGGGACGGGAGGCCAGAACAGTCAACCGTCCACTGGTCTATCAAACCAAAACAACACCGGGGATGGGGGTGGGGGGAGTAAGCAGAAAAAGAAAACCTCCAAGTTCCATAGAGTTCGCTTAGGCGATGGTTCGGTTGCTGCTCTTTTAGACTTAAAAAACCCCAATCCCGCTTCAGACCCAGATCCAGTAGAAAGAATAGATGACAACAATTCTGGGGGTGGGGTGCCTGTCCGTGGCGTCTGGCGAAACGGTGCTCAAAAGCTCTTCTCATAGCATGAATCGGGTAAATGGTGTAACATTTTGTGGATATAGAAGCAACAGAATACGATCGAACTGGCGACCGGATCTATACATCCGGCCAGATGGGTTGAAGGATGGTGAATTTTGTTTGCATTGGTATTAAGCTGTCTGTAATTTGGCATGCTTCATATTTTGAGTTATCACTTTGATATCAAATAGTGTGGATATATAATATGTTCCTTTTGTTTGAGGTTGGAGCATGAAGAAATTTCTGATATTTAGACCTCACTCGAGTGTATTTCACTTCTTGATTTGCACAGGAATTTTCGTTTCATCTGCAAAGCTCTATTTTATGCTACAATTCTTTGGAATTAAACATTTTTGTTGCCAGAATTCTCATATCAATAAATTTCGTGTTCATAGAAAAAAAGGGGTGCATCATTCGGTTTGCATCTTATCAGGAAGAAACGAATATGTCATAAATTTTATGAGAACATCTATAAACTGTTTAAATGATTATAAACTTCCAACTTGATTTGATGATCTTAATTCTTTTGCATCAAGAGTGTGTTTAAGAGTGATGATAGAATTAGTGATTTTGAAAAAAGAGATCTAAATATAATTGATTTTCTAATATCACCATTTAAATCATACAAGTGACTTTTCTAAGATCAATTTTTTAATTTGTCAAACATGATCAATAGAAAATGAAAGTGATTTTGACAAAAACAAAAAGTAATTTTGACCATAACAAAATCACTCCCAAAACACACCTTACTTAAATATCTCTCTTTTCTTTTCTCTAGAGTGATAGAAACAATTCATACAGATCTTTGTTAAAATAAAATGGCTTCACGTTATTTATATATGAAGGATGATTTACACATTATTTATGTAATGTCCACTTGGTAAAAACAAATTTGTTCATGGAATATATTGACACCAGGAGGAGCAGAAATATACAACTTCAGCATTCACAAATCTAAAAATCACAGGCTAGCCGAAGGTCTTTTCTGTGCTGTAACACATGTATAGAAAGCCATCGTCGTCCTTGTATGACTCGTACACTGAACTCATTAAGCTGGCTGCAAAATTTGAATTCAATTATATAGCATGTTAGTAATTCGCATTGAAAATACTTGTTGAACGAGAACGCTCGTAAGAAAATTGAGGTTCATCAGCTCAAATGCAACTACTCTACCTGTTTGAGGCAAAGTATTCTTTACAAACACAAAGAGAGCTTTTCCAGGTGCTAGATGAAGCCTGTTGCTCAAAACATGGATGAATTGGCCCACAGACATGTCTCGAGGAATGAGATACCTTTAATCAATAAGAAAAAAACAAGCCATTCAACAAAGAGCAAATCTGTATCGACACGAAATGTATTGTTAATGTCACGATCGCAACTGGCTTCAGAATATAAACCTAGGCGAGATGTGGCATCTGATTCTTACTATCTGAATATGACATCCTATATAGTTTATGCAATACTTTGATTCGCTTCTCAAGTGGTTTACAAGCAATACAAAGCCTATTAAAGCTTTTAACACCACAGGCCAAATGGTGTTAATAATATACCTGCAGAGATCCCACGGTCGACAGAGAAATCGAATCAAACGTGTAACAACTTACTAGGGGAGAAAACTTTGGAAGCCAAAATGTTCTATAAACACAAACATAATTCAACTTCTAGAAACAAATAACACCGATAAATAAATAAAATGGAAAACTTTGGCGAGTCATATGATAGGTAGCCAGAAAACTATTGCCAAACAGAAACAAACTTCACCAATCAAGAAATCAAAGAGTGTTATGCTAAGGTGATAATATCTATTTTCATTCATTTGATCTCCAGAGATCGTAAATCAAAATGGTAAAATTGAGACATTGAGGAAGGTCAGACAAGCGGAAGAACTCACTTCTTCTTTTCCATCTCAGGAAGTTCACATTTGTCATATCTCTCAACAATTACCTGCAATTATGCTCACAATATTAGAAGAAAGCCCATCAAACCTGCCTTCATAGATTTTGGAGGCAATGAATATCTATCTAACATTTACACCTCAATAGCATTAAGAATATTACATAATTGAGCCAGCATATTATTTTCCATGATAGTGAATTTTAGGAACAAAGATAGTGAATATATCATCTTATAACGACAGTTTTTCATTTCCCGAGAGAATTTATTTCAGGAAGATCCTTCATGCCAAATTCTGCGAACTATTCTGCAGAGATTTCTTAATGCCAAGAATTCAACACCTTAACGACCGACATTAAATATCGACTTAATCCGCAAATTTACCAAGATCTGATATAATTTCTTTTCTTGACAAAATTCAAAACAGATCCACCAAGAACCGAATATTCTCTAATCAAAGATACATATGATGAGAAATTTTCAACTTACGGGGACTCGATCAGGATACTTGGCCAGGATTTCGAACGCCTCCTCAAATCGTTGCTCTATTAAAAAAAATTAAAAAATTCAACGCAATAATTAAACACGGATCTCGAAAAACATCAAACAAAAGAAAAATTTGAATGAAAAAGAACGAAAATCATCTCCAATTTCAAGCCAGAAAGTAAAATCATACCGTAGGTAAACTCATTCTTGAAGGATTTGGATTTCCCCATTAGCGCTCTCTTTCCGACGCCGTCCAAATGGATTGAAATGGAAGTATATTGGGGAAATGAGGAGGTAAATTTAAATAATATAATAAATTATTTGTTTATAATTATCATCAAGCGGGGATAGCTCAGTTGGGAGAGCGTCAGACTGAAGATCTGAAGGTCGCGTGTTCGATCCACGCTCACCGCATCTTTTGTGTTTTTCTCATCAAATATTTTTCAGCTTTGGACAATTTTACCCCCTTTCTTTTGAGAGCGTCAGGCATCTACGATGAGCCCATTTTTGTCTTTTTAGTTTTCACCAAATATTTTTCAGCGTCGTGCGAAATAACAATTCTACCCTTTTCTTTTCTTTTTTTTTGCTTAAGGAAATTCTACCCTTTTCTTAGAATAGCGTCAGATGTCAACTCTCACCACATTTTGGTCTTTTCAGTTTTCACAAGTTTTTTTTTTGCTTCGTGCGAAATGACAGTTCTACCCTTTTATTAAAAGAGTGTCGGGATGTTACTTTTCGCCATGAGTATGGGCTCCATGGGAATCTCCATTTCAGCTCCTCCCTTTGCAGCAAGAATGTGGAACATTGTCTCATTGTTTAAATGGGGACGAGGACGGAGAATATGTTTCTCATTCTCCCTAGCATCTCATTTCTTCTTCTTTTTTTAAGATATGTTTAATTTCTTTTTCATGGTTGAATTTTTTTCCTGATGAATTTTGAGATATTTTTAAGAAAATTAACAAATTTTCATTTGTCAAATGAGAATTTAACCATTGCAGACTTACTATGTGAAATTAACGTTTAATTTATAATTTTTTTTTTATAAAAAAAGCATAAAATTTGTGGAAATGCAAAATTTAAATAGGGGGCTGGGACCGGGGCAGGGAAGCCTTTTTAAGACCCCACTCCTAGGCTTCATTACATTTTTTTCTTCTCAGTTTTCATCAAATATTTTCAGTTCCAAGCAAAATGACAATTCTACCCTTGTCTTGTTGTTTTAACCAACTGGATTTGATAGGTATTTTTGTATTCTTCTTACTATTATTAAATGAGATAAATACCTTGACAATTAGAGGCCATGTGACTCTCCTCCCTATCCATTATTTTATAAATGAAAGGGCATCTATATATCAAAGCACTGTTCGTTCATGTTTTCTATCTCTATATTAATTTATTATTTATTGTTCTATATATGTTAGATGCTGATTTTTAGATGTATTCACATAGGTGCACATCGGTGTCCCACGTAAGTCTCTGTCTTCAAACTCTCGTTGTCTACACAATAAATCTAGCATCGATGCGGTGCTCTGTCGAATGTATCATGATGTTTAAGTTAGAACTTAAGTTGAGAGCGAATTGGTATATGAACCATAAAGAACGAGAGGGTAGTAATCTCAAGAGTGAGAGTCTACTTGAGAGTGTATGTCAAATCGTTACAAAAAGTTGTGTAGGAAAAGACGACTTACCAATTCATTAGGCTTTCACTTTTCATTATAGAGAGAGAGAGGAGGGAGAGGAGGAGTTTTCTTGTATGGGGCGGACACAAGGGAGTGGTATGTCGAAGCTCCTCCAAATCGTGGGGACCGCATCAGCATCTTCTTCCTCCCTTTGGTCCTGCAAATCGAGGGCATTTACGACATCTTGAATGGTCCTTCTAGACGTATCACAATTTGGGTATAGAGTGTTAGGTACCCTGCCCGTCGGCTGTCTTTTGTACGAGATGTTTAGATGCGTTTAGGAGTTAGTCTGGTGCACTTGATCATATATGGTTCTTTACTTGACTCGACTCACTTGTTTAGACAGGTCACTGATATGTAGCACCTCGATTTTACCCATTTAACCATAAGAAAATACTTGACTCCCTAACGGTAAGAACCAAATATTGTCGTAACCACCATTCAAAAATTGACAACTCATTATTTTTTTAAAAAGAATGTTTATGTTTGCATTTATTTCTCTTATAATTGTCAAATAATTTAATAATTGTAAAGGACAAGTTAACGTATACAATTTTTTATTCTGTATTATCCTTTTCACAAAGAGACAATGTGTGAACCCACTTGCCAAGGATGTGGCAAAGGTGTGACATGCCATGGTAAGAGTATTTAAGCCATAATTTTGTATGATTTTTTTCATGGAAATAATTTTGTATTTATGATTTTTTTCATGGAAATAATTTTGTATGTATTCAACCTTTTCTTGTATTTTTATTTTTGCTACACCCATAGTTTGTTTTTATCACTTTTTTTTCCCCAAAAATATCTATCTAGATGCGGAAAATCTTGAGTGATATGTGTTAAGATTTAGATGAAAGATTTAATATGCCTCAAATTATAATTATTACCTAATCAAATGTTTCAAAATTATTACAATAGTTAGGGTTGGGATTCGAGCTAACAATCTCTTGATTGAAGATATATGTCAACTAACACTGAGCTATATTCGTTTTGGTTCAAAATTATTAATTAGTGAAAGGTTGTACTTCATCAAAACATATAATATATACATGTATACCTACAATATGATATTGATGTGCATTTTTTCATTATAACAAGCGTTACTTTCACTTCATTCAATTTAAGTACATTTATTTCATATATGTTGTAATTCAAAGCTGGTAGATTAAAAAAAATGTAGATTCATTAATTTGCCCATAGTGGAAAATCACATAATTAATTCATGGCTTTTAAAAACAATAAAGAGGAATTGCATACTTAAACTAATGATATTCTAATTTTACGGTTGATCACATTACATGTAACTCCTTGTAGGAGTTAAATATTTTGGATTTCGATTAAAACAGGCGACATGATTTGAAATTTGTATAAACGGTACCAGATGTGTTATTTTTAAATGTTTTAAATGTTTTTTTTTTCCTAACATGAATTTTGCAACGTAAACTTAACTCAATGGTAAAGGCATATAACTATTTTCTTTGAAGTTGGAGATTCAATCTCTACCCGTGATATGCCAGTATAGCTTAGTGATAATTGACATATATCACCAACCAAGAGGTTGTGAGTTCGATTACCCACCCCACATGTTGTACTAAAAAAATCCCCACCCTTGATATTTATGACACTAATTAAAAAAAAAGAATGAGATCTAATATTGTATTTATGAGTCTTTATGGTAACTTGAACTTATTGGTTTGACTCCATGAGTAGTATAGAACCACCATCCTATTAATATGTCACCGCCAAGATGCAGGTCGTTGTTCCATAAATTCGATGTCCCTTTTCCTTCTTTCAAGTTCAACAAATGTGGCCAAAACGTGAGTTCGATCTCCTACCCCCACATATTATACTAAAAAAAGAATTCAACAAATATGAAATAGAGATATTTGATCGTTCGACTTTAAAGGATGAAATATTTCTCATTTATCATTGAACTATGCTCGTCGATGATAATTAAATTCACTATCTTGCTTCTAAGTTATACAATTTCACCAATATGAAATTAAACAAATTTAAAAAGTGGGTAGAGTTTTTAAATAAAAAAAATATATCAAGATGTCAAAATTGGTTGCTATATGGATTATATCATTAATACAAAAATATAAAATATCTTACTGATACACAGTTTTTGTATCCTTGATAAAGTATATCACTCACATACTTAATAGACTTATATTACTGATATAAAGGCTCTTATATTTGTGTTATTTTTACAAAATATTTTATCACGTGACAATGTGACAATCTTACAATTATGTAGCTAAATATGGTATTATTGCAAAAGTGGGCCTAATCACCCAAAACGTATGCTATTAAAATAGGAGAATTAGAGCAATTGTTGTGTCGGTGGAGATCTGAAGGGCTTCAATTGAAATGAATGTCGTCATGTCGGCAAAAGAAAAGCTTTACAGATCATCACCATCGTGCCAATTGCCATCAACACACATCACCGTCACTTCTCATTTCCCACTCTAGATCTCGACTACTTTATACATATAATTAACAAAATGTCAGATTTTATTTATTTATTTATTTAGTTATTATTATTATTTTTTAAATATCCCGTCACAAAAATGTGGGGTAGCTTCCAATCTACGATTAAGAGAGGAAATAGATTTAGTCACCATTTAATAAAGGTTGTCACTCTGAAGTTATAGTTAAAGTATATGCGTCTCAACGTCTAATTGTTGGTACTCTGCATCTTCATGGAAAATTCAATTTCACTGGAATCTTTGGGATCGTAATAAATGTCCTATCTACTTTTGTTTGGGATAATAAATTAGATTTTATTCCTAAAAATCGGAAATGATCAATTTTAATTATAAATTTTTTTTTTCATAATGAATATGAATCCTAGACTTTAAAAAATGTGACAGTTTTTACTTTAGTTAGACCTTTTAATCTGAGTTAAAAAAAAAAAGTAAAAATCTTCCCAAATCCACAAATTTAAACATAAATTAAATTATAAACAAACCAAGCATGTTTATTTCGAATTTTGGAGGGTCTGACATGTATGGCGAGCTTTCTGGCTGAGCTGACAGAGCGAATTATCCAATGAGACATGCATGCAATGAACAAATACTTCGATACTTAAGTCAGTCTAGAGCTCGAACTTAAAGATCGGTTCAAAACAGAATTGCTTACCTGTGAGTAGGAATGATGACGTATTTATAGGCGTCGAAAGAGAGAGCTTATCCTTATAGCCATTGCACAGTTTGTCACACTGTTGTAACTAGTTCCGCTACTAAGCTCGATCTGGATGTCTGAATAAACATATTATAGTAGAACAAGCTTCACAGAACAATATGTTGGGTAAGAATAGACTATCCTACTGAGGCTAAGCTAATGAGCTCGATAGTAGAAGTAAAAAAAGAAAGATACAATCATCTCTTCTCGATAATCCACGTGATAGGTGGTATTTTATCCTCCAACAAATCACAAAGAACAAATTCTAGCGAAATAATAACATACCAAATTTATTATTGAATAGATGTAAAAAAATTCACCAATTTCAACCAAACGAAGAAGAAGAAAATTAATCCAAACGTTTTTTATTTTAAGCTTTTGTATAGGAGTTGTATTTGTAATCCATTGAACATA